GCCGAGTTTCTCCGTCGAGAATCGGGATCGACGGAGCAAGCAAAATCAACGACATCGATGGCCATTCTTCCGTCATTATCACCGATCGCATCGGTGCTTCCAATCACCCGGACACAAATGTCAGATGTCGGTTACGGGCTATCCACTCGATGGATATAGGGACGGCCGGCCGGACGGACGGACGAACGAACGGACGAGCGACCGACAAAAAGGGAGATCGATGCCTGTTGTTTGCCGAAGGTAGAACATAAGACCCGTGAATACGTCCGACAGTATCTTTGACGCATCACTTATCGCGAGGGCTTCTGCTTCCTCGGATATTGGAAGCTCCGGCAAGGTGAAAGCTCGCTCGTTCGCTCGCTCGCTCGCTCGCCACCCGCTGGTATCGATGTCTTCGCCCTGTTCGATAAAATAAACCGTCGAGACGAATGACCCCGTCGGATTGTCCATACATGAATTCCGCTCAATTATTTATACATTCTCCGAATCCATTTATTTGCGGTATATTCCCGGCCGCGCTCACTTTATCTAATTACGTCGTCTTTAACGAAAGCCCCTCTTGCTCGCTTGATTGTATCGTTTTATTACACGACATCCGCTCCTCCCCCCTCCCTCTTTCTATTGAAAAACCGCCGGGCGCGCTGATGTTATTACTCGTGACTCCGTCGCGGCGTGGTTTTTAATCGGACTCGCAATTAGATCCGAAACGGTGCGATTCAACCTCGCCTCGTGAATTCTGTCGCAACGGTCGCTCACACGGCATAGAGAGACTTTCCGCTGCGTCTGCATTAGAGAATTTCCGAACCAGGAATAGCCCGTAAGAATATCATTGTCTCTTGAGAATCAATATTCTTGACCGTATCCGGGATATTCCGTATACGCGCGTTCGTTTCTTGGCATCCGGATTCGCGCTGCCGCGAACGAGGCGTTTACATTGCCATCGGCCAGTCTCTTTGCGAGGGGAAACGTGTCCGTACAATCGCGCACACGTAGCCGCTCTTCCGCCAATATGCCGTTGTCCTAGTTAGATTTAAACGCGACGAAAAGAAAGACGCTGCATACGCGAGCACGTAAGTCGCGTCGCGAGAAGAAGTAACGAAAACACGTAACGGGAGGGAGATGATAATTAAGAATGATCGTTATATCGCCGGCAATTGCCAACAACGCGAGCCTGGTGTTGGCAGTAATGCAAGGTGTGTTTGCCGTAGTTCTTCTTCGTAGGAAAAAAAGAATGAAATGATACCTGCCATTTGTCACCGGTGACTCGTGGCCGACTCGGGTATCTCGTGGCGGCGAGCATGATACACAAATTATCCGACATGACATATAATTATCTGCAACGATACCACAAGTGTGACATAAAGCGGAACTGTAAGTTGCGACGTACGTTGGCCGACCGCGAGACACCAAGCACAGGTGCACACGGCGTTATCGCGAAGCGATAATACGCGAAAAAAGGATCGCGCTAGGAGTGGCGCGAACAAACGAACGCGGGCCACGCGCGCGCTTCGCGCACTTTGTTCCCTTCTCTATGTATAAACGTGTATATATATATATATATATATATATGTCATCGTCTCTCCGCGCGTATATCAGCGATCGCCCGTTCGACATCGCCCAACACCCAGGTCTCTCGTCGATCGACCCGGGTCAAGAGAATTCGGATTACCATACGCTGCGCATGAGGCGCTCGCTATAATTGATGTTCTCTCTCTCTCTCTCTCTCTATCTCTTTGTCCGTCTTTCATCTCGTGCCGGATATAACGCGCATAACGGACTCGGGAGACCCTCGGCGAGGCTCAGCGTAAATCCGCGATTCAGCAAACAATCTCACACCTGTGGTGGTACGTCGTTCTAGCCGGGCGAGCTGGTCTCGGCGTCGCGAGAGCGACGAGCGTGCAGCTTGCTCTCCTGGTTCCCACGAGTTGTTCTACGCGATGATGCGGGCGCCGATGTTAGCCGAGCTGTTAGACGACATTGTAACGATGATGCCATCAAGAGAGAAGCTTACTAGTGACACGCGTCCTACGTGGCAGTAGAACTGCGTCGCACAGTTTCGTAGTTACGTACCGCGTCCGCGAACTGTAACTATTCATCGGTTGTGTACGTCGACACGCGCGTTAAGGAAAACGGAGAGAAAACGAGAATGCTGTGCTTGGACATCAAGCTGGTCGCGCGACTGCGAGGCGTCTCCTCCGGGAGCACCTCGTCGTCCGCGTCGCCGGCGCTGACGACGACGACCGCAGGCTCGACGACGAGCACGAGCAAGTCCCGCAAAGCGAGACGCGAGAGCGGCGAGAACGTCGGTTCAACGACGACCAGCGACAGCGAGGAGGAGCTGTTGCGGCCCAATTCGAGCGTCCAGGAGATGATCCGCAGGAACCGATCCAGATCGGTGTGCGTCGCGGCGATCTTGCCGTCCTCGCAACTCAGGCAATTGCACCGGCGCGCCAGTCATCATGTGTATGTCGCCACCGCGAGGTTACGCGGAGCAAATTGCGAATCAAGCGGCGAGTCACTTGTTTTTGTTCAGTTGCCTCTTCCGTCGGGAGAAAAAAGTGGTTAACAATCGGCCATTGGCTGATGATATGATTAATCGGAGGAAAAATATAGCCTCCTTCGGCGTCAGGATTGTTTCCTTTTTGTTCTCCTAACAAGAGTTAGGACAACACAAAAAGAATGTAGCTGGCGCTAAAGATATATTATGAACAGAGAAAAATACTTGTGATATTACTTGTACTGCAATTAAGAGCAAGTATTCAGTTTATTATTCTTCTTTTAAGCAACGGTTGTCTCGAACGAAGAATATTTCCTTGGTAATGATATTCAAATATACTCATCACAAATATTAGAAAAGATCATCATTATTTACTCGAAAGATGAGTATGTTCCTTTTTCAAGAGTCATTATAAACTTCATCGGGGGAAAATTAAATTCGGCTAACTGGAATAAGTAAAGCGAAGTTTTTCAGTTTTTGTATTTTAATTTAACATCATCTATTGAAGGAAACTAAAAACTAAACTTACGATTATCAAGAAAATATTCTTCCTTCGGGACAACCATTGCTTAAAAAAAGAAAAATAAATTGAGCGATCCCTTTTCTTTACAGTACAAGTGGTATTTTCTGTACAGATAACGATAAAATATGCTATGCGATATAATATTGCTGTTATTATAGCAATACGTACATTATTATTATCGTTATCGTTTATATTATCGTTATCTTTATAATGCGCTCACACGCGAGGAAAATGGTTTGCTGTAATTATGTTACTGTGCAATTAAAGTCACAAACATTAAACACTTTTTTCCTCAAGGTTATTGAGCGAGGTAAATTTAGATGAGCTATTAGCTGCGCATATTCGCCGCGAAACTACAAAAAATGTTTTCTCATTCCTCATCGTTGATCGAAACAGTTGTGCGAGTAACTCGCTGCCTGACGCATTTGATACTTGTGCGGACTCGTTATTACTTGATATTTTTTTTCTCTCTGTTTTTCTGTGCAAACCCGACATGACTCGATCGCGAAATCGGCGGTTTAAATGCGAAAACCACGAGCAATAGGAACGTCGAAACTTGAACAAGTGACCGTTTCTCTTTGCGTCTTTCGTGTAACGACCTCTCCCCGGTTACCACCCGGCCAATTCGACCTTCCCGTAGCTTCTCGTTAACCCAGATATTCACATCGTGAAAAATGAGACACGAGAGGGGTTGAGTCGGCGAACCGAGGGTGCCGTCGTATCACGCTACGTTCACACTACGAGGGTGCCCCCCCGGCTCGCTCGTTGAAGATGATCGTATTTGATCACCGAGTACATTTAGTGAGTCAATAATAATTATCCCGCCGATAGCGTTCTACCGCTCAATCTTCCGCGCGAGGGAGAATGTCGAAAGTCTTGACAACGGCCTATTATTTAACTGCCAGTCTGAGAGTTTCAGTGACAGATTTATCGGATATCTTGACCACTCGATCGTAAGTTATAGATATCAAGAGAGCTAAAAGGGTAAAATAAAATCTCCCCTCTTCGGGTTATGAACAGCGAGAACGTTCTATCCCGCTTGTATCCTGGAAGCTCAATTTTCGCGAGGTATCCTGCCTTTCCGGTCGCTTCTAGTCCAAAAGCTATTAATCTTTTGACATCTCATTTGAGAACTGGAAATGGGGTCGAAATTGGCGAAAAAGATTGATTAAGATTCACGGACATTCACCGAAATCAAAAACTGGCGTTGGCAGATCCCGGTAATCCGCAACGCCGACGGGTTTGATCGCAGAGCGGCGCAGACGGCTCGCCGGCGGCTTTTTCAAATCCACCGCGCTGTTTTGCTTTCGAATGTTAGAAGTGCCAGCGGAAGGCACGGCGGAAGGTAGAGAAGGTACGTGCTCCGGTCAAGAATGCCGTTCACCGTGGCGGACGAGCGAGGCGCGCCGCCGTCTCTCCTAGTGTGAACGATTCCATAAGAACGCACACGCCAACGAAAAAAAAGACACGAGGCGTTCACGCAAAGGCGAGGTCGTTCACGTTCCAAATAGCGTGAATTATTCTCGTAGGAGAGAATCAAACGCGTCCGTGAACGGCGACCGGCGACATTGACGGCGACGCGAACGGACGTCCATTTAACACGTTGACTGCCACGGGGGTCACCAGTGGCCGGCGCTATAATATTGCCGCGCCTCATAAATTTAGGTATAAAACGTAACCAATTGTACATATAACAAACGGAATTAAATTAATAAACCTAACTATACAGTCGATAAATGTGATATATAATTTATAAATAAATATATGGCCAATAAGGAGTCAGTGAAATGAACTAATAGTCGATTTTAAGAAGAAAATATTTTTCTACTATGTATTTGAGCATTAAAGTGATCAATGAAAATCAACGTGGCGGTCAACATGTCAAATGCCCTGTGAAAAATCCCTGTAGAAAGAGGGAATTATACTTTATTTTTCCGGTGACTGACGTTATATCTCAAATGCGGAAAATCGCTGTTTCAGATCCACCGCGGACGCGATATCGAGGCGAGGAGTCCTATCGAGACGATGCTACGGCAGCGTGGAAATGGTAAGGAAACGAGGAAAAAGTGTCCCGCTCTACTGCGTTTGTCGCACAACGGGCCTCTCTGAGCCATATGTACAGCATACTCGTGCACGATAAATGTTAATCGCCGCGATAAAACGCCGAACAAGAACCGCGAGCGATAATCCGCGGCGCATCCGGTAAGCCGATTATATTGTTTCCCACCACCTTTCTGTTTATCTATTGATTTGCTTATCATAGTTCGCCGAGGTTGCACTCAGGTAGTTCTTGACTCATGCTCCAACTACGGCGTTACAATATATTCGGTAGCGGTCGATATTCGCCAGAAAGCAGGAAAGAGACAACTTCTTTGAATACCTTGAATTATTAGGATTGTTTCGATCGAACTCGTTTTTGCTTTCCCCTCCCCTCAGCCTCCTTTCTACGGGATCTTTTATTGACGAAAATTTAATTAATTTAATTTTCTAATTATTCTATATTAAAATCGTTCTTCGTTCTCTCGTTGTCCGAGTTCATAAATTTCTTACTTTATCCATCGAAGCAATAATGGACAGAGAAAATCTTGCGCATGTTCAAGAATATATTCATAAGAAAGATTTTAACGAGAAATTGGATAAATTTTTCCTTGAAAGGACGCGAATACCGAAATTCAAATTTTCGGTGTCAGAGGTTATTTCTGAAAACTTATGGAAAAAAGAGCCTCAGGGCCCCGATTCTCCGCTTTCGTTTTCAATCGCGCGCGTTTCGAGAGTCCTTGGAATCACGATTCGCAAACTCGAAAGTGGAGCATGTTGACTTGCAACGTGCCAGTTTGCTAATCGCGGCTCCCGAAAATGTACTTCCAGTTGCCGCAGATCGAGCAGGATGGCGTCGACAACGGCAGGAGATTTCGGGTGGAGAACGGCGACTCGCTGGGTGAAAAAGAGGAGGTAAGCAAGCGTCGTCTAACAATCAAACGATCGGAGTCCACGGGGATTTCTTTCTTTCACCTGCCAAGATCCGTCTCGTTTCGCGACGAGCTTAATTGCTCGCCGCTTTAGTCCACTTCGTCTCGCGCCCCGCTTTTCCTTTTCGCCGCGACGACCGCACGAATGACGTTTGTTGGTAACGAGGAACGAATTTTACGTCAACAGATGTTCGGCTCGCCGAGTACGCCGATACTAGAGAACCCGGAGTACCAGACGCGTTGGTACTTCAAATACTTCCTGGGCAAGTGTAAGTTGAGCATATTTTTCGATTTTCATCCGAAGCGTTTCCACCCGGTTAGTTATTCCTCGATTCAAATCGGATTTCTTCTCTCCCATCGTATAATTGTGTAATATCACGGAAACAGGATGAGAAATCCGATTATGATTTATGCAAATCGATTTACGTTCTTCAGCCGCTCGACCGAATTAATCACTGTGCCATTCAACGGGAAGATTTATGCACAAAGCGCCGCTTTTCCCGAAATAAAGTAACACCCTTCCCTCTCCCGCTCTCGCGGCAATTAACGCATCGACGCGCTTTACCACACCTCGGTGGAAATTACCTCGCGTCCGACGATTCAACTGTTTCAATGATTGCAATTTTTTAATGTTTTTATGGACGGTGTATAAGTGTAATTGACCGGTAACGCGCGAATACTGAGTTGTTAATTATCTGTGCGCAGTGCATCAAAATTACATCGCCTCCGATCAAGAGAGAAATCCCGTCTTTCTCTCGGTAGTCACGAGCGAGGTCGGTGATCAATGCGTGCCACATTACCGAGTGATTTTGTGGAGACGGACTGTGAGTACTTGTCATATTACTTAGCAGACCCCTCTCGGGATGAACTTATGAGGTCATTTTTATTCTTACACGGAAAAAAGCTCGGTTCATAATGATAATAAACGGGAGCGAAAAGAAGACGGCTGGCAGATGTCAACGAGACCAAATTTGTGACCAACGAACGTTGTTAAACGCAAAGAACAGACATGTGTTAAATTCTAACGGGTCGGTATTCACAGTTCTAAGTGATTTACGATCTTTGTTTGAGAATATAATTAATTACAAATTTATATTAATTGCAAAGAGCGTTGTTTGGCTGTTCCGGCAGATATTTCTTGTTATATAAAGTAAACAGACGAATACGGGTTGACGAACAATCGGAAGTTCACCAAAATATAATTATTTATTCAACAACTACGAACGCTGGTCTAAATTTCGACTAAGTATGTGTCTTTATTCTCGGCGAGATCGTCAAATGCCTATTAAAATCGGAAATATCTTGCGTAACAATAATTTGACGCACATGGAAATATATGATGCATCGTTTGTTCGTACCTCGATCTGCTTTCGGCTGCTCCAAACACCCCATCATAGTACTAAAACATGCGTAGACACGAATCGATCGAAAAAACACATGTTCATAAACACAATGCCGACGAAAATTTGATTGAATATTTTAAAGGCCGACGGAAATGATAAACTAACTCGTCGATACGCGTGCTCTGCGTCGCGCTACGTTACGCATCGCCCGACGGCCCGAAACGAAATAACCGAGCGTGAAAACACGTGACGAGCGAGAATACAAAAACAAAGAATGTTGTTAAAATTTGGAGCGATCTTCGAGCGAGAATTAAAAAAACTTTTCTTCAAATTTAACTTCAGTAAAAAAACAAAAATATGCAAAAAAATAAAATTATGAAATAATATCTCAATATTAAATAAACAATAAAAACGGAAGAAATTGCGCATACGCAAACATTCGCGCAAATTAAAATTCCTGCGGAAAACCCCGCGGCTTGTGCAAACAAATGGCGGTTGTTTTACACTCCGTGAACGATACATGTTAGAAAAAAAAAGTTTGTTAAAAACGAGTGCATGGAAGAAGATCTCCATAATCGACAAATTTCAAGCGCGCGCAGTTTTGCAGTGAACGGTGAGCTTCCGCTCTAATGATTAACCAACTATTTTTTTTCTAATCTGGGATATTCTGTAAAATATAAAAGTACTATCCTTTATTTGCACAGAATGCTGAGTTCGTCTGCAGATTTTTTTATTTCTATGGTTGATTGCGCGCGCTTGAACTTTGTCGATTACGGAGATCTTTCGCGAGATTAAAACAACAAACATTCCCGAAAAATATACTGCAAGTCCGAACTTGAATTTGCTAACGCTTTCTTCTCTCGTTTCTGTTTGAAGATTCATCGTTGTTTTTCTATCGAATCTAGGTTAAATGTCTCTATCGATGCACAGCATTGTTATATTGTGTATACATGCAATCGCTATCTGTTTATCCTGATAACTTCGTTCTCTCCGTTCTTTTTGAATCTCGAAATTTCTATCGTGCGTTAATAAAAAATGATAAACATATTATAAGGAAAGTTTGTTGTTTCGTTTGCTTATTAATCTCTTACACGTATTAATTATTTCATATTTACTCATATTTTATATCTGTAGTTACTTTCATATTTTATATCTGTAGTTAAGTAAGTTACATTTTTATTTAATTTAATTAATATGTTACTCATCGGAATTGAAGATAAAGATTAAATGCATGTAAGATATCGAGATAATCGAATATTAAATAATTCAATAGTTTATATAGTGTTATATATCAAGACTTTCCATCAGTTTTTCAAATAAGACGAAATTTGCAAAGTTAATATAAAAGCAAAATTTCGATTTGAGCGTAAACCTTTAACATGGCTTTAGTTCTCTTTTCGTACAAGATTAATGTACATATATATACATGTATCGATCTGTCCCAAGGTACTACCTTGCTAAGATAAACTGATATCCTCTGTATCGCTCCCAATCCAATTTGCTTTGTATCCGCGTCACGCGGATACAGGATATGATATTTTATATTGCAATCTTTCCGTCTTTACCGTGATATCTAATATCGATTTCGCGGTTGAAATTATGTCGCGAGAAACAATACCTTCGACCGTCACGAGGATGCAAAATCAATCACGATAAATCGAGAAATGTCTTATTTTACACAGGGTGCGCAGAAGATATCATTGCCGTACTCGGCGAACAAAACTATGACCATCCGGCAGATCCTCAGGTAATTGTCCCCCCTTTCGCGCCGAGTCGGAGAAAATACGCTCGAATTGAATAAAAGATTTATACTTTTCAGCAACTTCTTCGGTCTCGAGAAACTCGACAAGGTGCCGCGCGAAGTTTTCTCGCCTGAACTGCAAAAGGTGAGTTCATAAATGCATCCTCCCGTTCAATTTCACACTGGGGAGAATGACGTCACTGTGATGCGCTTAGTGGACTAACTCGATGATCCTTTCCGCAGGACTTGTTACTGCTCGAGGAGCAAGAGGGCTCGGTGAACTTCAAGTTCGGTGTCATCTACGCGAAAGAAGGTCAGATCACCGATGACGAGATGTTGTCGAACGGTAAGACGATATCACGAGTATCACGAGGGTAACAAAAGATAATCGGAACGGGGGAATGGGAAATTAAGTGATAACGGATAACGCTATCGATCACTGAGGTCACTCCTCGTTTTCTCTCGTAGAAAGGGGCAGCCCTGGCTTCGAGAGCTTTCTGGAGATCCTGGGTGAGAGGATACGGCTCAAAGGTTGGGACAAATACAGGGGTGGTTTGGACGTGAAGGGTACGTTAATAATATGGATATTGGTGGCGCAAACTTGAAGCCCACAATCAGAAGAGGCGGCGGAAGGATGGTTGCGCGAAACGAGTTCGAATATCACCCGTCTTTTCCCGACTCCGACCGACAGATTTTTCTTCTTTACCCGAATATCCGTGAACTTTCAAACTTTTGCTTATAACAACGACGCTGCAAAATAGCGGACACTAAGAACGATAAAAAGATAAGAATATAAGCATACTCTAAAAGATAAGAACATAAGCATTTTCTATCAAGAAAAAAAATTGCTTGACTTTGCTTGTTAAAAACATAAAATTTAACGGAGATTTACGGCAATTTAGTTTTTTTCCAGTTTCCCCTGATTTCCCACGATACACATGCGGAATTTTAGATTTCCGGCGACCTTGGAGGAACGTATTCTCACATTTTCACGCTTCTACTCCGGGCGTTTTGCCATTTTTCAGGAGACATGACGGGTAAGGAGAGTTACTACACAGTTTACGCGGGCCACGAAGTTATGTATCACGTTAGCACAATGCTGCCGTATTCGAAGGACAATCCACAGCAGCTGGAGAGGAAAAGACACATCGGCAACGATATCGTCAATATTATATACACGGACGACCCGGCGGCAGTGGATACATTCAATCCGAACTGCATAAGAAGCCAATTTACCCGTGAGTCGACACGGCAATATCAGTTGCACAGATTGAAATCGCGCGTATACGGCAATCGGAAAATACACCACTCGATAACGTGGGATAAGGTCGCGAACCTTATCCATAGTTGTTTACATAAAGATCACACGAGCCGCACAATCGACGCTGAAATATCACATAGCGCAGTGATCCTCATTTCTCTTGTGTGTTTTTTTCCCTTCCTCTGCCTACGCTTGCAGATCGTCTTTGTATTCTCGTAAGCTTCAATCGATGTGTTACCTCACGCGCACTTGACCTATGTCTATTTATGTAAATCTAAACGATCGACAGCATAATTTTCACAGCTTCTCACGGCCGATTTTCGAAATGATATATTTTTTGACGATTTTACCGCTCGAGCTAAACAGTTATATCAGCTTTTCCCTCTATCGCCTCACCTTCTAGTCTGCGTTTCTATCAATTATTTTTTTATATTGTTGCTTCTTTTCTTTCTTGTGTAGCGACCAATAAAATCATTATTATTACTATTTACATCAGAAGTGCTTTATCCGTAACGTTTATCATCTTCCGCGTGATCAACGGCTGAACATTAATCGGGCGGAATTCAATGTGAGAGAAAGAGAGAGAGAGAGAGAGAAAGAGATCGCCTGAAATAAAGCGCAGAGATATCATTAGTTGAACGTCGATTTATCTCCTGCTTAGACGTGTTCGCCGTGATAACGACCGAGGCGGACGGCAAAGGATGGCGGGTTGCTATTTATTGCGACGAGACCGTACCCCTGTTCGGGCCGAGCCTACCCTGCCCGCCAATTTTCGAGGACCCGTATAATCTCCGAGAGTTTCTCCTCGTTAAACTGATCAATGGCGAGAAAGCCACCTTCGACACTCCGACATTCTCCAGGAAACGAGAGAGGACTCTCGACGCCCTGTTGCGAGATATGTACCAGGAACACTCGCAGGAGAGCAAGAGCAACGTAAGTTACTTTGCGACCTTCGGGCCTTCCATTTGCTCGCATGTAGTTTCCCCCTTCCTACGCGTTCGATCAATCTCCCTCATTCATAACACTCGGCGGAAACAACGAAATAACTCGGTTATCGCTCTCGAGCGTCCACGGCGGCCGTAATTACAACCCCTTCGTGTAAAAACGAAACACAGAAACGACGACGTCGAGATAAAAGGGGAAAAAATTCCCCAACGCGTTTTGCCACCGCGCTTAAGTGAAAAAAGTCGCTCACTATAGCCTCACGTTGTATTTTTAGTAGCTACACACCTAATATAGCGCGCATGTTTGTATTTATGCACATACATACAATGTATTAAATAGGCAAACCGAGAATTTTACATAATGTCTTTCACGTGTGTGATGACGTTGACATGAGAATGGCGAACGTGTCGAGAAAATCTGATAGCTTGCGAAACTCGTTCGCGATACTAAAGCGTGATAACATTCGCCAGATATATAGTCGTCGAGAAAGAGTCTGATAGATAGGTGGATAGATAAATTAATAGATAGATAGATAGAAAGAAAGAGATCGCGCGAGAGTCGCGCTATATAATTGAAAGATCAACACAGGCGCGGCTTAAGCAGCTAATTTCGTGATAGAGCATGCTAAATCGCCGGGCGCTCTCGGACGTCGTCGAGGCGCCGGGACGACGGCGCGAGGAGACGCGCGCCGTGGAGATGGTGCGGGTCGGACAAGCCTTGAAGCTGGAAGCTATCATGCGTGGTCTCGCGCCCACCTCCCTCGCCACGGTCGGTCCTCTGAAGCCCCGGCCGTGGGAGCCGAGATGCATCTATCCCGATTTTCCCCACGAGGTCGTCTGCGGCGATGTCTGGCTGGAGAACAGGCTGATCCTCGCCACCGAGAGCGGCACGTTCCTCATCGAAGGTAATCGTAACGTAACCGTCGACCATCTACCTGCGACGAATAATTGAAGCGCTTCGACGGTGTCGTTCGTACGAATCTGTGCGCGCAGACACACGTGGCAAATGAAAAAAACATCGCGATTAGCGATCGAAGAGCCCGCGCTGCTCGTCGACTTCGCACCGCCGCGAATTCGCCGAAGCCCATTGTTTTCGGAATTGCGGATCTGTATTATCGAATACGACGTCGCGAGTTACCACATTCGCTGCGGTTTGTTCGAGAAACTACGATAGTGTCGCGTTTCACGTATAATACATATTCAACTACGTACAGCCGATAGAGAGCCGAAATGAAACACGAGCTAACGAATATATCCTGGGTGGAAATTGGAAGCGGGGACTGGAAAGACCCTGTACGATATTTCCCCATATCTAAGCCCTAACACAAAAATATAACGCTCGTACAATTTAGGGCCAGTTCTCTAAGTCCGTTTAACTGGGCTCTATGAGCCACAGACTTCTCAGAGGCGTTCACGTCAGTGCCCATTCAGAGCCTATTGACGAAATTCCATTCAGGATTTACCTTTCTAGGCCATATTTAGACCCAACGAAGGCAGGCTTATTTTGGGACATGCCTACCTAAGGCCACAGACTTGGGGCACGCCCCGATTAATTTCTACCTGGGATTCACCTTGCCTATACACCGTGCATTAAGTGATTCCAGCTCAAGCTGAGCATTGAGATACTCAGTGGAACTCAGCGCGCTCAGTCAACGAGTTAACGATAATAAATGTTCGAGAGAATGACACACGGCGTGATCGGCCGATCGTTTCCCCTGCCTCCAGACGGTGTCTCGCACAGACTGATCTTCGACGAGTCGGTGCAGATCAAGCAGCTGGACGTGGTTGAACAGCACGGTATACTCCTGTTTCGCGCCGGCGACAAGGGCAAGGAGAGCAGCGTCTACGTGTTCCGGCTGCGTGAATTCGAGAGCGACGCGTCCGCGCGATGCGCCGAGCTGTTCAATCACGATCGCGAGAACGACGATCGGGAGAAAGAGGAGGAGGACGACGACGAGGACACCATCATCGCCGACGACGAGGACGATCGTAACGACGACGAATGCGACGAGGACGACGCCGACGAGTGCGACAATTTCACGCGCGCCACCGCCAAATTCCAGCCGGTGGGACGTCCGCGCGCACGTTTGCGCATCCGCGCTCCGGCTGTTCGCAGTCGAGCGCATATCAAGGAGAGGAAGCTACGGCGCACACGGGGATGCCACTTGTACAGCATCACGCGGCCCGGAGGCTCGCATCTACGCATGGTAACGTACCGTCTTGAAAATAAAGTTCTGCGTTTCTTGAGGCTGGAGGATGAATCGGACAGGCATTAAGACGGTATCGGATTAAGTATTGGAAATTGTGGGTTGAAGATTGGAACTTGGCCAAATTGTTTGGAGTAAGGCAAGGCGGTATCGAAATTAATTGGCTCGTCAAATTCTAATCCCTAACCGGCGATCTTCCATCTTCGGGACAGATGCGAGTTTTGAGACGAAGACGCGCCGTTTTCTCCGCAGCGAGAGTGGTCGCTTTCCCGGTGTGAAATGACGGGCAAGTCCTCAGCGAAAAACTCGACTCGTCTTTTTGACTCATTCATCTGCGACTGTCATAAATATCGCGCCATATGATACGTCAAGAGATTATTGCGCTAATTAAAATAGCACGCGGTAGAAATCATAATTCACGTGGACAATGTGCCCGTAATCTGTCCGATTTATCGTGTCACGTATAAAAAAATATATTAACATATATTAGTGATAATATTATATTAATATTAATATTTTTACGTGCGCATCGATGGTCTGAAATGCCGATTATTTAACACGTGCACCGCCATGAAGGTGCCCGGTGCCGTAATATTGCCGCGTCTCATTAATTTACAGATAAAACACAACCCACTGCTTCTAATTAACAAATTAAATACATAGCCAGTGAAGCGAACCAACAAATATATGCATCGCAAACCGTATCTTGGTTAATTCAGACTTTATTTTGGTTTCCGAGTTAGCGTCGCATACTTCATGAATTTATTTTCTGGAAACAAATCCATGAAGAACACGACGTTAACTCGGAAGCCAAAGTTAAGTACTTTTCCGTACGAATGCCTAAAATATCAAATTCAGGCTTTAATCTGGCATTGAAGTAATCAATGGAAATCAGCGTGGTGGTGGACATGTTAAAATTCTTTTCCTCCTCCATACGTCACCCTCGAATTTTCTTTCGATAATTATCATCGACGCGAAATACGCGCAACGACGCATAATCGTGACGATGCGTGAAACAGTGCGTGGTCGTCGGTCGCCGACTGACGGTCCTTCAGTGGAAGCACAACGCAGCCTGGACCATCTGGTGCTCGGCAGCGGACACCGACACCGTCGACGGCTTCCAGCTCATCAAGGAGTTCACGGCCAGCGAGACACCTTCGTTGGTGACGATGATCGAGAGCACCGATCCTTCGAACGAGTGGACACTGTGCTGCGGCGCCCGCCATCACTTCGAGCTGATCTCCGCCACCGGAGCTTCGAAAATAGTCCACATGGACTCGACGGCCAAGCCGCACCTGGTGGCGGCGTTGGACCTACGCGAGGACGAAGAGCCGGAACTCTTACTCTGTTACAACAGTAAGTCGCGATCCACAATCCGAGACATCGATCTCCGATACTGTAATTGTAATCTACAAATCTCTTCACGACTTTTGTGACAAACGAGACGTTTATTCATCCGCGTTTCAAATTAACTCGTAACGTGCTATTTCAACAACTCGAATTTACTCCGTGAGTTTCAGAAACGATGCATTTTTGACATGTTGAATGTCACGTTCAACAAACTCAAATTATCGATGTTTTGTTAACGATATTATTTCGTGGTTTTCTATTTGATATTCTCCTAAATGCTTAATAAAATCACTTCTAATCAGGCGAGTAAAACTGTCAGCCACAAAATCCACAAACGGGTGGTAGGACCCTTGCCAGTACACACGTCATCCAGATTCGGGTGATGTGGATGTTTCGGGTTAAGAATTAACGACGACGCTCCGTGGATGTCTCGATGTCTAACGTTCTTTTCCTTAGATACGTGTCACTTCCAAAAACTGGCGGAAGAGAACGCTGCGCCGACCGAGTTTGACTTCAACTGGAATTCCGTGCCGACAGCCGTAGGTGCGACGATTAAAATTCTAGAATTTACTGTACGAAAATAAAACCATGCCGATTTGATTCGTTACTTGAACGACACACGTCACTACGACGCTCTCGTTGATGAATAATTTGTCTATTCACCGCAGCCTGTGCCTTTCCATACGTGATCGCCTTCACCGATGACACGATGGAGATCCGTCTGATAATAAACGGCAACCTGGTGCACACGATCGCCATGCCGAGCCTCAACCTGATCACCTCCAAGCGGGACATTTTCTTCGCGACCACCGCGCCGGAGTTCCTCCCGGGGAAGTGCGAGCGGATTCGCTTGGACTCGAAACCTTCCGAGAAGGACGAGATGCCTTGCAGCCCGCCGCCCTCTGGACAGTCTTCGTCGTCCTCACGATCGTCCGTTCAAAGTACTTTCACTTCTTCTTGCCCACGCTAAGACCGAAGATCCGATCGCCACCTCCAAGAATATCTAACGAACGCAGTATAGTTTAAAGTTTCGGAAAGAAACCTGCCATTTTCTCCATTTTTATGTGGATTTTCTGCGGTTTTTATCCTTAAGGGTACAAAAATTCGTTCAAAAAAATTCACTTATGTCTGGTTAAAACCTGTCAAACATTTACATGTTTCCGTAAGAAATAAAAAACGAAAAAAATCCGTGAGAAAATTGGGGAAAAAACAGTTCTTTTCCGAAACTTTAGAAGTGTAGAACGCAGCGAGTTAGGACCTCTTCAAACGGAATGAATGTCTCATTCACAGGCGGCCAAATCGATTGGAAGCCGATCAGGATTTACCGGATACCGTTGCAGACGCTGTCGAGAAGCCCAGCGTCCAACTGCAGTCAGAGGTGTCCGAGTCCCGTCGAGCCGGAAATCGTCTCCGCACCACCCACCACCGACAGGACTTTCTTGAACGTCGAGCCTCAGCGTATACTGAGCAGATCCTGCAGCAGCAGCCCGACGCCCACACCGACCACGAATATGCCGTCGCCTAGGAAATAGACGGCGCGCATCTCGCTCCTCTACAAGGCGGACGAGCCGATCATTTACCGACAGGCTGACCACCGTGAACAGTCCTCCGAGAGGTGTTCGATCGTCGCGAGATCGATCGCGAGTAAAACCGACCGCACGTACCTGATTACTCGTTCCCGTACGAGAGAACATACGAGAAACCTCACTGTTATACGATATAAGTGCGATCGCACGCAACTTATTGTTCGGATAGATTCCGACTGAGACGGCGCATCAACGCCTTAATTACGGAGCTCTGTGCTGCGATTGGTGATTTTTCCTTCCTGTTCCTTCCCCCTCCCCTCGAGACATTTTCGTCTCGATATTTCGTTATCATTGTTTTATTCCGTGAATTGTTTATCACGACACCGCACATTACATTTGTTTTCTAATCAATTTTAATTTCAATCCCCCATTGTTCCTAATCCCCGGCCAGAAATTCGAATTTGTGCGCGAAAAGGCTGCGTCGAAATTAAAATTTCGAAGGAAGACGAATAGTCTCGATCGTAAAAATTACGCTCTGCGTTCCCCTTCTTAACTGTGATTAGTTTTTTCTTCCGACGCGATACAACATGGTAAGCTTCAAAGTTAGGGAAAACATGCCGCGAGGTGTCGACTCTCTCCACCGGTCTGGATCGATTTTATCTCGCGTCACCCGTAATTAAGGGGTTAACAATGCGATCACGACTTTAAGCTGTTTTCGCTTTTGGATTTTTCTAAGTGATACTGTATATTGTCCACACACAGTTCCTCATTGTTTCGAGACCGACTTTGAGCAAGTAGGACCCGGGCGAGCGACCGTAATGGCCGACGCCGAGAAACATTTATGACGCACGATTCGGCATCGCGAATCAAACTTAACACGTGTACCTTAACACATACACACACATACACGGGAAGGGCATTTTCGAGATGCGCGTTCGCTCGATGAATCACGCGTTTCTTCGAACGTAGCGGAGGCGCGCGGAGAATGTTGTCGGAGCCGATCGAATCCCGAGGATCAGGATAGTCAGGCTGCGCCGCGCATCCGGACTTATATATTTTTATTTAATAAGAATGTTGTAACACAGCGCCGGAGTGGGGTGAGAGGGCAGAGCGAGCAGAGTGGGGGAGGGAGTGTCGGGACCGTCCGACCTGTTCGAGTGTCGATGTGTCATGTATATATAATATAAAATAACGAATAAAATATATGTTACCGTTGTATTTCCACCGAAATAAGACGACACAAGGCAGTATTCTTCTTCGACGTTTCTCGCGCCTTCTTCTCTTCCATCTTCGACCGTGCACCCCGACCTGTAATTTTGAAATAGTCACATGCGACAGATTCCACATTCGATTCTTTCATGTATATTTTACAGATGTATGTTGCTACTGTGTAATATAGTATATATCAGTTGACTGAATCATCTCACACCTCTCTGCCCCTCTCTTTTTCTCTGAAAATAACTTTCCCAGAATAGTTCGTTGTTATGCGCTCGGTCTCGATAACGATAAAATACAACAGATTACCGGGAAAATATATATCAGCTCGTTGTACCTCTGTCGAGTATTCTATATTGCAAATTTTTCCGTTACGTTTACACGTTATCGAAGCCCGCGATAATGAAAATTCACAAAGAACGCGCGCGGAAAACGGAACGCGCACAAAAGATCCTCTCGAACACACGCCGAGCTTTTATTTCCGTCGTATCGCGTCAAGCACTTTACGACGCGACGGATAAAGTTTTCGTATCTCGATCGACAAATTCAACGCGCAGTCGGTCAACGTGAATCGCGACCGTGAGGGGAGCAAGCCGCTTCAGACAACCGCGGTCAGACTGGAGCATTGAACCGTGACGATTTTCGTTTGTCCGACATGCGTTTTGCGAGATTGCCAGCGACGGATGCACGTTCCGTCGGAGCTCAAATTGCAGCTACACCGTGAAATACAATTAAATCCAACCAGAGATTCGCTCTTTTAGCCGGAAAAACCGCGGCGGCGAGATAATCTCTCGATTAACTGGAGTGTGAAATACATTCGATTAACTTCCTTCTCCCGCGAACGTCGAGAAAATCTCTTCGAGGTATACACATGAAAAATTCACGACGCGATATTTCAAAACACGGTAAACGCCGAAGGGAATATCCGCTTCAAGTTGAACGCGACCAGAACACGCGACGATGTCCGATGATTTCCCTTCAAACGCGTCGCCGTTTATCGTGCACGGTACGCGTTACGGCGTGAAAAAATCTTCATTTTCGTGCGCCGACGTTGTCACACAGAGATTCGTGACCGGACATTCCGACGTATGTGTCAACGTAACGACGCCTCGACCAACCGAGCAGCGATCAGCCGGTCGCCATGTCGGCCGGTGAGAGCGGCGAAGGCGACGTCACGCGTCGCGCGCTGCCTGCGTGCGTCGTACGTGCATGCGTGAATACGTGAGCGAGTGCACGCGTGTGTGTACATATAGCGTTGCGTCGCGCTGTGTCGTGTCAAAGGCGAGCGTCGGCGGTGTCGGCATCGTGCGACGGTGTACTGTACTATCGGCTCCGCGGCGTACGGTCACCGCGCAAGACGATAAGAGGGGAGCAAGAGAGAGAGAGACACACAGAGACGCAGGTATGATGGCCACACACACGGAAGGCTTGCGGAGAGAGAGAGAGAGACGGAACGATCGAGGGGCCGTGGGACGGTGAGAGCGGGAAGGAGGGCGAGAGAGAGAAGAGAGAGAGACAGTCGAGCGCGAACTCGTGGTGTGTGGAGAGGTGCCCACCAGCCGGAGAGCCAGCGGAGACGGAGAGTCGGAGGTGGCCCGTGCCTGTGGCTACCCGTGACCGCCCGTGGCTCGCTGTAACTACTCGTCTCTTATAACGTGACGCGGAGGTGCGTGTGGGTCCCGGGGTTCGTTCGCCCGTTACCTCTCTGTCGAGAGCACGGCCGACACCGCGCGTCCACCGGGAGCATAGCAGCGCGCCGCGCGAGGTACTCTGCCGCCGCCGTCTCTCTTCCTCGCTCCTCTCCTCCTATTCTCTCTTTCCCACCCTCTCTTTCTCTCGTTCCTTTTCTCGCGCTGTCTCTCTCCCTCTCGTGCACGCGAGTGTGATCGGTACAGTGCGACCAGTGCGACGTGATACGTTCTCGCTCGCGGATCGTCCTTCGCCATGCTCGCGCGATAGGATAGTAGATGCCTCGCTACTACGGAGCGAGTCATCGTTAAAAGACTGTCAGGAGTGCCTTATACTACTTGATTCCTCGGGTTGGCTCGTACGAGGCACGACGCGATTACATTCGCCGTCACGGCGGGATCCCGAGACGGAGGAGAGGAGAGAAAGAGCGCCGCGGCGCACTGGACGACGACGACGAGGTAAGGTCACCCACCGCTTCCCGCGTCTCCCGAAAGCGAGGATATCACATATATTAAATCCCGTTCGCCGTGCGAGTACGAGAGCACGGACGTACGGAGGTTATGTTTCCCGATGACCCCGCGACTCCCCCCTCGCGCCTCCTCCTTGCTCCTCTCTACCCCTTCCCACGTTCACCCTCTCCTGTTTCCCCGCCACTTGTCCCCCCTTCCTTCCTCTCTGTCTTTCTCTCGGCGTCCTTCTCGTTGTCTTCCCTTCTCTCCTCGCCACTGCTCTCCTCTCTCGCGTACCTCGTTCCCTCTTGCTCCCTCCCTCCCCCTCTCTTTCTCTCTCTCTCTCGCGTTCTTTTTCGTTCGCGGACGTCGAAGGAAAACCGCGTCGCGAACGCGGAGTTTCGAGATTCCCGGCCGAGGTGTTCCGTATGTATCCCGCGAATCGCGCACCTGGCAGCGATTTTCTTCCGACTGCTTGGACGTTCGGTTACGTTCTCTTTCTTTCTCTCTCTCTCTCTCCCTACCTCCGCGCCCATCGTTTTTCTCCATCGCGCCGCACGAGAGTGTGTGCAACGCGCGGAGTCCGCGACTCGGCGGAGACGTACTTCTAACTCGCTTCCACATGTCCATACGTACACGTCTCGTATTTCTTTCGCGCGTCCTGCCCTTTCTCGCCACAGTCGGTTTCGTAATCTCTCGATACCGGGTTTCACGAACTGTCAGCTGTCAGCCGCCATAGCCGTGCCACCTGTCCAAAACTCAAATGCGTGCGCGTGCGTGCATGCTCTTTCTCTCTTCCTCCCTCTCTCTGTCTCGCTCTTTCGTTCGTTCCTCCTCTATCTTTCCCCTCTCTCTCTCTCTCTCTCTCTCGGCTTCTCCGTTCCTTTCTCTATTACCCATACGCGACTCTCGGGCATTAAACCGCGCGACTCCGTGAGCGTTCACAGCTTCTCGCGTTGGGGATCAGGCTAACGCATGATTTCCCTTCGAGAAAGGCGCGTGTTCGAGCCGTAGGAACGGCGATCGGCGACGCTAGCTTTCCTAAGTAGAAAAGGCTTGTTGATATTTCGGCGCGCAGGCTTTCTGGCATGACAGCGCGACCGGCCTTGAGCCCCCCCTTCCACGTGTCGCCTCCCTCTGCGCGCGCGCTCTTCCTCCGTATCCCTACTACAAGCGCACTGCACGATACTCTATGGACCAGTGTCGCTCAACAAGCGGCGGCACTCCTCGCTCTGTCCGACTCGCAGGATAGTTTGCACGATTTCTTTACGTACGATATCTTTTTGCGTGCACGACTGCGTGAATTGTTTTTCCTCTACGTCTGAGTTTTGGCTCGGCGAAGGTTTTTTTCCGTGTACCTATGTAGCAATAATTTGCGTTCAATCGTGTTATTATTAATTCTACACTGAACGATTATAGCTGTTATGTATTTTTGTAAGTCATACCGACGTACGATTATATTTATCCCGTGAAATACAATTTTTATAGACGACAAGAGAGTAAAACTCAAATTCCGAACGGTCGGTGTACGAACGTACGTGTCTTGACAACTGCGGTATGCGGCGAGACAATGCGGAGAGACTGCCGATCCGATTGTCCTGATACGAGACACGATAAGATTCGTAAAGCTGCGGCAAAAAGTGACGTCATTGGAAACCTTCCTCGCCGAGGAGAAGCCATCTCCGAAGGAAAACGAAGGCAAACCTGTCGGTCGAATTCGGGACGCGTGTTTGCTACTTGAATTTCGAGTGCGATGCGCATACTAGCACGATTCACCGCTGGAGAAGACGCGTCTCACCTCGCGGAGACCTCGCCGGGAGCACCGCTGCTTCTTAAGAGCCGCGAGTCCCGCTCTTTTCCCTCTCGTTCTCTCTCTCTCTCTTTCCCGCAGGTTCCCGATCCCGATCTCGTCTCATCGCGACGCGTCTCGTTCGGAGCGTTCTCGGGGCCCTCCTCTCCTTTCTCTCGCAGGCCGCGCGCGCGGACGCGAAATCGCCGCCGAATCGCGTCGAGCGGGCGTTTCTCAAGGTAGGAGAGTAAGTGACCGAGAGATCGTGAGCGCGTTAGGGTCCGGCGGCAATTGAAGGAGCCACGGAAGAAGAAGGGGCAGGGAAGGAGAGGGAGGACAAGAGGCAGGAAGATGAGGCGCGGAGGGCGGTCGAGAAAATCGCTCGCTCGCTCGCTCGCTCCTCGACGGAGAAAATGAAACGCGCGAACGAATGGACGCGGGGCGTTAGCCCGTAGCGGTATACAAACGCGCACGGTGATCGCGACAATGGTATCGGTACCACCGTGGCTGATGTACAACGGCCACGACGAATGAGACGAGCGTCGTCCTCTCGTCTCTTGGATGGACCGAGATCGAGCGCTCTACCTTGACGGCTCCACCTACGTTGCGCGCGCGCGGCAAAGTACTTCGGCATACTCGCGCCTTTCGCTTCGCCGTATCCTGGTATACAGGGTGTCTCAGAATTGTTACCCGAAGGGTGCCCAGGGCGGGTGGTAACGCTCGATGTTAATTCGCGTCGGGGATGCTTTTTCCGCGGTGAAACGATCGTCGGAACGTTCGTCGACGATGCACTTGACGATGCGTCATTGTTGTGATACCGCTGAAGATGTCAACCGTTCTACTGTAATAGGTGGATCGGATATCGTCGACCTTTAGTTAATCCGTCTCGTCGATCCTCCTCGATCCGGTTTTTCCACGACTAGGCGAGCCGACTCTCTCGGTTATCGCGTACGTCGTTGACGACGAAGCGTTCGCATAGCACGACGACAGGATGAATCGCCGACGTCCTTCAGCGAAAAGAAAAAATATCGTCGCGGTCGATTAGATTAAGAGAGCCGCTGCAACGTGCGTATCATTGCGCGTCCTACGTATTAACGTGCGGTACGTGCGTTAATACGTAAGTGCGTACCACGTTGGATTTGCGCGCCGCTCCGAAACAACGAGCGTCGCGCCGGTGCGAGTGAAACGGCGAAAGTCCGCGTTGCACCCTCGTTTGACCGCTGTTTTTTCCGTGCCGCCGGAATGATACGAAAGGTCACGGAACGCTTAGAAGAACTTTCTCTGCGTTTGGTGGTCGTTAGACTGGTACGCGCGCGCGCGCGCGTGCCAAGTAAAATTACCTTGCCGACACGCCGTGCAAAATGCGTTCTCCCTCCCTCCCCTCTCTCTCTCTCTTTTTTCTCTCTTTTTTTTTTTCGAAATACGATTCACACGTAAAATCGATACGACTCGCTCGCTTATCCGCTCTAAGATAAAACTTTTTTTCCCTTTCTTTCAACGAGATATGACTTGGCGATATCCTGGAGAGATCTCTATTATTACTTTGGCGGCGTGTTTCTCGGAAAAATTGGAAGTCAATCCAATAGGCGTTGACTCATCGCGGCATCGGTAATCGTTGCGATCGTTAACCAACACATCAATACCGCGATGTTGTATTCTTGTGAGTAAACTTAAACGTGGCTTGCGCGGCGGTCGCGCTGTAACTCTAGCCGGCTTACATAAGGAACAACATCACTCGTTACAGCTGACGTGAAAAGAAATCGGGGATACTCCCGCATAACTGCACGCTCGCGTCCGTGTAACGAAAAATCACGCGCGCGCGTTACCAGCTTAATAAATCGGGAAGTGACTGCGCGTCCGCTAGGAACACCTCGGTACTTTGTGCGGCATTGTTTCAGGAGATACCCGATGTTATCCGCGTGCGAGCATTAGTACAGTAAATGTGAGCGCGTATCTAAGCTGTATCCCCGACCGGCGTTATTTTTAACAGATAAAATTCCTGAAACATTGTTCTCCAACAACGAAGCCGATTTCACCGGCGATCTCGGCTAAGCGTGACGTTGACGTATAAATTAAGCAAACTTACGATCGAGGATCTCCTTACAGACATTACTAACGTGCATGGAGAGAAGAACAACTCCATTGTACACGAACGAAACGAAGATTGGATTTTGCAGGAAAGAATGGTAGAAAGTGAAACGGAGAGAAACGTAATCTTCACTCAAATTCTAAACGTCTGCATAATTATTCGCATTATAGAACCAGCTATTTTACACAATTATGTAAGAAAAACGAGATGTTCTATGTAGAGAGAAAGAGAGAGAGAGAGAGAGAAAATCCCCTCCCCTCCGAATAACTCTGGCGAGCATGTTAATTTTGAAATAGCGTTGGAATTCACATTGACACAACCAGTCCTGAGAGTCCGATTGACTACGTTCATCAAGAATGATGACTCGATAATTCATAACCGCGGGCATTGGCTACCTATTGACCCCAAGAGTCACGGAGATGGCCTGGACGGTGCAGCCCGTGGCACCGTCTGTTTCAGCGCGCACCTCCGTTCAACGTCCGACGCGCGAGCAAAAGTTTACGATGGTGACGACGGCGACAACGGGTCTATCCGTTCGCGAGCGTGTCCCTCCGGGTAATCGCTACTCCAGATTGCGCAAGCTCCTTCGCCACGATCTTATCGTGTCGGCGGCAGTGTACACTGCACGTGCACGTACGTGCACGCATTCATACAATCGTCACGTACACGTTCACGTTTCTGAAGCCGGTGTAACCGACGCGTACCAGAGACACGTACAAGCATGAGAGAGAGAGAGAGAGAGAAAGGGAGGAGAAGAGAGTGCTCGACGCGTTCGTATGTGTTCATGTGCGCGCATGTATGGTACGTACACGTGCGAGAAGAAAAAAAGAACCTCTTGGATATGTGAAGGGCGACGGTGAGGGGAAGAGGAACGAAGTATGTGCTGGAAACTACCTGGATCCTTGAAACAACGCGGATAGGTCTAGCGCAACTTATGAATATTGATGAACCTTTCTCGACGCACCGGCCGTCGGACCGCACCTCGATCGTTCGATCGTTCATTCGTTCGTTCATTCCTTCGCTGGTTCGTTCATTCGTTCGTTTGTTCCTGCTTGAGAACGATTTCATCTTTCTCCCGTTCATCCGCCGAACCACTAGCGTCGGTGACTACTCGCGATTTTCGGCTGAATT